ATATAAGTAGAATTAATATCTAATTCTTTAGCAGCTTTTTTAATTGATATAAATCTTCTTTCTTTTCCATCTTTAATATTGATAGAAATTATTGCCTTATTATTACTTTTTTCAGCATTTTGCTTATGAGTAAGTAATTGTAGATTTTTTAATCTATTATCAGTCTTAATCTCATTTATATGATCAATCTCAAATCGACGTGGTATTGGCCCACGAAAAACCTCATATACAAATCTATGTTGAAGATAATTTATTCTTTTTTCTAGTTTTTCATTGTAAATGGTAAAATTTAAATAACCACTAGATTTTCCCATTTTAATAATTTTTTTATTTTTTAAACTTAAGATATCTCCATTTTTTCTTGCGGCGTAATTGTTAAAAACAGGATGTTTGTAGTATTTTACGCCATCAATTATAACTCTTTGCTTTATTCTTTTATCTCCCAATTTATAATAACCATACTTACGAATTGATGGTAATACCTTAGCAAAAACCCACTCACGAAAGAATTTTGCAGCAGGTAATCTAGAACTAAAAACAAGTTCGTAGAAACCTGCTTCATCAACAAATAAACAATATTTTCCTCTAGTGTCAATTTGTTGACCCGTCGTTTCGACGGGGGAACAAAAAAGAAAAGTTCTTTTATGATTTTCACTTACATGTTTTCGAATAGCTTGATTAGTATCACTGTATCCTAAAATACTTGCTATTTGTTTTGCTTGAAACCAAACCCTTAATTTGTTATCGATATAAGAGTTAAATTTAATCCCAAGATTTTTGTTTATAAAAACTTTTTCTAAAGTGTTTTCCATTTTATTTTATATTTTATTTCTTTAAGCTATAATTCAATTTTATATTTTTTGAAATATAAAAATTATGGATATAACTTTTTCTCTCTTAAAAGTTTTTCGAGTGATTTAACATCTTCTCCATCAATAAATTCTTCCAATTGTTTTTCCTGTTCCTCATTCATTGTAAGTCCATACCCTTCAGCAAAATATGCATCTTCATCTATTTCTCTTTTATTAAAATAAAATTGCTCTGGAGCATGAGTTTTTTCAAGTGTCTCAACCAATTCTTTTAGTTTTCTCCCTATTATAGGATCTTCAACTTCAACATAAATTTTCATAGGAATGTATTCATCAGTATCTAGTTGAATATATTTTCTTAGCTCGTAAAAATGAGTACTCTCTTGGTCTTTTTTCAACTTCTCTACTATTTTAATTAGGTCTTCAGGTTCCTCAGGTTCTTTTGAGTAAACTACTTCCTCATCAATATCACTTAAGAATTCTCTTTCTTCTAATGATGGATTGTTAAGGTTAATAAACCCAAGTATATCACCTAAAGATCTTTCCATTTCGACCAAGTAATCTAAAACAGATGGATGAAGTTTGTATAAAACTTCACATATATGTTCAAGATTTAATAAGGACTTAGGATTAATTTGTATTCTCATTTTATATATAATTATATAAAATGAACAGCCCCTCTCAAAACTATTTATTTAACCCTTTATAACAATTCCACCATTTTTCATAAATCTCTAAAGTTATAGAACTAATCTTAATTTTAATAAGTTTATACTTTTCACAACCCATCTCCTCCAAAATTTTTTTTGTTAAATAATTAATATTTATCATTCTCTTTCTGAAGTATTGCTTGTTTAGTATTTCCATGATATGATTATCTATTTTTGAAAGTTTATCATAAAGTTCACATTTTTCTTCATCATTTAAGTTTATTCTTTTAGAAATTTCATTTACCTTTTTCTCATAGTGGTATTTCCTTTGGTAAATACTCTTTTTTCTATAATGTAATCTATCCAAATCTTTTACATCAAATAATCCTAATACATGACCATTTTCTACACCACATTTTTCACAAATTTTGAGGCCAGAATCTATTGTAAAAAATTCAGTATTTGGGCAATTTAAACATTGTGCTTTTTTACTAACTTGTTGAATAGGTGGTTTTTTATAATTATGAAGTATAGCTAAATATTTTTTTATTTCTTCTTCTTTATAAGCCATTTATTATTTAATACTTTACTACTTTTAAATTATTTTTTATCTAAAAGCTAAAGTATGCACTTTATCCTCTAAAACAATGCGCTTATCATCTTCATTACTTAGAGCTATTTTGTTAACTTCTTTAGAATATATATCATGTTTTTCACTTCTTATTATTTTCATACTTCTCATTTCTTTCTCACCTGAAAATAGACATTTAACATAATCATCAAAATCCATTGTCTTTTTTACAACATTTTTCTTTACTCCTTTACACTTTTTGACTTCCCTATCCTCCTCAATTTTAAAACTATAAATTTTGGGTCGCAGCCCAACAAAATGTGTTATCTGTTTTCCTGCTACTTCATCTTTAAACATTCCAATCACTTTTTTATTTGCTCCTGTACTTATCCCAGAAGGATGAAGTAGAGGATAATCAGAAGTATCAAATTTATCTCTTACATCAGGACATATATCGAGATAAAAATCTTTTGTTTTAATCTCATACATTAGACTATCCGTATCTGTAAACAATAATTCTGCTTTATTTTTATATTTCTCTTTAATGTATGTGTAATGAAAATTAAACATAAGTGTTTTTGATAAATCTAAAATTGCTTGACCAACATATACTGGTTTATTAAAATAAATTTCAGTCTTTTTCATATGTACTGCAATAAGATTTTTATCAAATATTGTTGCTCTTTCAAAGTTTGGACGACTTGTTAATTTTGCAGCTTTCTTACGATTATCCACCAGAATTATATTTTGTCTTTTTCTTATGTTTTCTATTGTTTTTCCAAAAACACTATTGTTCATTAATTTAAAAAAGTCTTTCTCAAAACTGTTAGATGCTGTTTTTCGAAGTTCTGTATTCTTTCTTATATATGGTTCCATCCAAGGAGACTGATAAAATGAAATTCCTCTATGTACATCAGTTATTTTCATTCCCATTTCAAGATATTGTCTTAGATTTCTATAATGTACAACATAGTTTTTTCTTGGTTTAAAATGACAAATAAGTTTTTCCACACCATTAACAATCATTCTCTCAGGTGCAAGGGGATAGTCATTATGTGTTGTCCATAGTTTTTCAGGATACTCCAGATCTACTTCAAATATATAACCTTTGTTTCCAAGATTTGACATACTATGATTCGTTTTCTCTAGGATGTCCATTACAATTTCTTTTGTTAAATCACTCATCCATTTAAATCCATGTGTTGGAAGTGATTGTAACATTGCCCAACCGTAAAGATTATTAGCATCTAAATATTGAATAAAAGTAGACTCTTTATCAGGATTGTAATCTTTCATATATTTGTTATTTGCTTCTGAATATCTTTTTGATATATGAGTAATACCACCACGAATACCTTGCTCAAACATCATTAACATATCATAATCATACAATAGTTCTAATTCTTGACCTGTTTCTTTTAGACAAGCATCCCATGCTAGACCGGGGGATGTATAATAATGTGCTGGATCCAGATTGTAATGGTGGAGACAAGTTTTTCTAAAATTCTCAAATACATCTGCCAAAAGTAAAACATCAGACTTTAAGTAAAGATTGTGATAATCTCTGATTGTTTCGCAATTAAAAGTATTCCAAACATTAATAGCATGTTGATAATCATCATCTGATATACCTTCATCATTTAAGTAGGAGTAAAATTCTTCTTTTGGAGGTAGCTTTTTTTCAGATAGTTTTTCTAGAGATGAAACATAATCATAAGGATAAACACCTTTACGAGTTAGTAAATCTACATTCTTCTTAAATATTTTTTTTGTATTAATAAAATCTTCTGGTTGTAAATTTCCAACAAGATTAGCAAGTGATGATTGAAGAAACTTTAGTGAATCTATAAATCGTACTTCAAAATTCAATGAAACCATTTCTCCAGTAATTTTAGATTTATACTCAGCAACTTTAATCTTTTTCGAAAACGAAATATATTTTTCCTCTGTTGATGGAATACAGTTTAAATCACCTGGTAAACAAGCAAGTTGCTTTATAAACAAATGTGCGTCATAACCTTGAAGATTATGAAATATAACTGGAAGAATCATTGGTTTTCTACACTGGAGATTGCAACTGTTATGTGCAGCTCCACGGTATTGTCCTGTAAAATGACAATGATCTCTAACCTTGTCAGTTTTTAATTCCATCTTACAAATATGGCAAAATTTCTCTTTATTAAATGATATTTTTTCTTCTTTTGTTAAATGAAGAGGTTTTGGTTTAAGATAAAAATCGTTATAAATACTTTTAGTTACTTCTTCGAGTTTATTTACAAATATCTCAGCTACATTATCATCATTATTGTTTTTTGTATAAATAATTGGTTTAATTGTTATATTTGGTACTATTCCCTTAATATACAAACAAAATCCTGAAGGTTCATGCTTTTGGTAGTTGTAAGTATAAGAATACTCTGGGTTAGGGCTGCAATTATTTAATGGTTTAGTAAAGCATTCAAAATCTGCATAAACTACAAAAGGAATAGGAAGTTGTTTGTAGTAATTTTTGAAATATAACATTGTTTTTGGTTCAGGCATTTTGACAACCACTGTTTCATTATTTGAACAATATAAAATATGTTTTTGTAATAATTCTTCTTTAGTGTAATGAGTAAAGCACTTTTTACAAATAAATATTTTTTCCTTACTTTTGGTTTTTTGAGACTTAATCAAACGATTAAAATTTTTGATTAATGTGTAATGTGAAACACCATCTTCCTCATATAAAAATAAGTCAATAGTATTTATACAATCTTTCTCTGCCATTTTCAAAGGGTAAAAAATTCTTTTTTCATCAACTGAAAAAACATTAATTCCTGGAATTTCTGGATTAAGTTTTTCAAATTTGGAAATATCTTTTAATTTCATAGGAAAAATAATTCCATTAGTGTTAAGAGAATTTTCATACTTTTTCAAATCTTTTAATCGTGAATCATTATCTTCTCTTGGATAAAGATATCTTAGTATACACCAAAGAAAACATTTTTCATCTTTGTTTTGAATATTAACTATTGCTTTTTTATTTGTTATCCAATCAGGAAGAGGAATGTAAGACGACCCATTCGCTGGATTATATTCAACAGTATGAATTTCAAGTTTATCAACTTCTTTAAAATGCCATGCACTTCCAGCTGCTTGATAAGCTTCAATATTTCCTTCAATTTCATCTTTACATATTTGAATTAATTCGTCAACATCTGTGGATTTAATATTAATATGTGTTTTTGTATTAAAGTAAGCTTTATCGTTTTCAATTCCTACAAGACCAACACTTTGTGAAATATTTTGTTTTTCCATGATACAAACCAATACCATCTTAAATTTTATATTTCGATGATATTTAAAAAAATCTTTTAAAGTTTTATTTATTCTCTCAAAAAACTCCATTGGAGTCAAACCAAAAATTCCTCGAATAATATATTTAACAGCAAAGTCTTCAAGAGCTGATTTTTCTTTTTCAAGTCCTAATTCATAATGTTCAAAAATAGCACGCTCAAGAGCTTTACGTAAATAAGGAGGAGTATCTTTGGGAATCTCTCTATTTTTTATACATTCCTCAAAATACTCATCAAATGTTTTTATCTTTTTCTTTACAGAAGGACCCGCCATTTTGGCGGGGGCTTTCTTTTTAATTTCTTTTTTTATATTAATACCTTTCCTTACTTTTTCTCTTGCTTCTACCAATTTTTTATATTGTTTAATTAATCTTTTTCTTGATCCTAATTCCTTATAATCTTTTTTAAGCCCTTCTTTTTCTGCTTCTATTATATTTTTTATTTCATCTAAAGACAAATTCTGAAATTGTTTGTCTGTAACAAAGGGTGTACTACCCCACGAACCGTTTTCTTGGTTAGACATGACGTCTTATAATCTTATAATTAGATTATAAGACTTTAAGCCTTTTTTAATCACTTTCGCTTTCACTTTCACTTTCACTACCAATTTCTACATTATCCCAAATATTATCATCTATATTATAAATATCATCTTCAAAATCTTCTTCATTTTTAATGTTGACATTGTTAGTAAAGATTATTAAATTCTCAAAAAAATCTTGAAAATCTTCATCCAAAAGATAGTCAGAATAAAAAACATTTCCCATATTTAAATATATGTGAATTCTTAACTCAATTATTTGCTCAACAACACTTAATTTGAACTTTAATTTACTAATATTTTGAAGTTTCCCAATTTTTTGAGCCTCCAAAACATTTTTAAAGTCTCTAATAAGTGCTTTTGCTCTTGAAGACGAAAAAACTTTTTCAAAAGAATCAGTATTGACTCCAAGCTTTTTTATAAACTCTCCACATTCCTTATTAATCCCTCTTATGTAAAGCCATTCTTTTTTGAAGTCTTTTGCATATTCAGGGATTTTTGAGCGTTTTTGATTTGAGCCAGAAATTACAGATTGAGCCAGACTACCCATTTCCATAACTACTAAATTTTGCATAACTTATTGTCTTAAAATGCTCTTGGGAAAATGCAATACTCCCAGGAGCATTTAAAAACAATGGTTTATGCAAAATTTGGGGGGCAAACAGAGTGTATTATGGGGAATTGGAAAATAGAGAATATGTGTGGACGGGCGAAAACGATGCGAAAATGCTACGAGTGGACAAGATTATTTTGGAAAACGGAGAAAAAAAGTTGCGTTTTCAAACGAATACGGATACATGTGGACAGGGCCTTAGGGAAAACGTGGAAAATTGAAGCCTGGAACAAGACGACAAAACAAAATCGATTACCATACAAAGTTTACCAACCAAGATCGATTTACAAAAGGATTGCGTAGAGAATCAACCCCGGGGTACATAGCACACAATTATTTGTTAATATCACAACCTTAAAACAGGAAATTAAGAAATACTAACTTTATTTAAAATATTTTAAAACCTTTTGTCTAACTCTACAACAATGAGAACCCTTTAAAAACTCAAACCAGTCACTGAGGAACAAAGTGCGACAGTAAACATGCAACCTCATCTTATGGAGGCCCGTTCTGGTCAAAATCATGACAATAAAATTGCACCACAAGTCAATTTTAATCCAACTGTAGCAAATATTATGGACATGTTTAGCCTGTGAACAGGCCTTTTTTTTCCCCAAACAGAGAGCCTGTTCACAGGCTAGGACATGTTGTGTATTTTTGTCGTCACTAAACAATACTTTTTTCAGCGTGTTAGTAATTATTTTTAGCAACAAGAGTTATTTTTGTTTTAATTATACAAAATACTTTTTTTATTCATGCCATGAATTTTTTTTTCAGTGGTACTTCGAATTATTTTTTAATTGGGCCGTGAATTATTTTTCGTGGTATCGCGAATTTATTTTTAGGTCTACAATGCATTGCGGGCCTTGCATTTGAAGTGGACTGGTTCGAGTCTTTGACTTCCTCGGGCGATCATTTTGAAAACTTTGCAAGTGGAGGAGTGCTTTCAAAGAGAATGTCAAGGCGAAACATTGTCAGGGAAAGAAACGAAAGAGGTTTTCATCTTTCTTACAAAATCTGTCAAGAGCTAGGCGACTCGTACATAATTCTAACCCTTATTCAACCTGACATGTCTGCCCAATTGAACTGTTCTCTACCCAGTCTTGTACCTCGAGTCTTCGTCTCGTACTACACATGCTGGCTTTCGGAACAGACGCAGAGAATAAGAGTGTTCCCTACCCTGAAGTTCAGGAAGAAGCTCCCGATTCTAATCCAGACGGGCGAGCACTAGAAGCAGAGTCAGATGGACTCAAGGTAGAAGACTTTCGCCATGATTGCTAGTTAGAGTAGACCTCACTAACTGGGAAATTTCATTGATTTATCTAATATTTATGTTATGGCATTACTGGCTATATATCTCAGGTATCTGACGTTGGACATACCGCCATCGTAAAGGCACTCGAGCAAGTTCCCTACTCTCACTAGCACTCTGCGAAGGTCTTCTACCTTGAATCCATTTGGCTCTGCTAGTTCTTGTGCCCGCCCGTCAGGATTAGAATCGGGAGATCCTTCCTGAAGTTGTGTACAAGTCGTGAAGTCGCTTCGTAGTATCCACTATTAAATCTTCGGTCCATCCCAGAAAAACATCATCACTAACGCACAGACTACTGGCTCCTGACAGATTTTGTACGAAAGATGAAAACCTCTTTCGTTTCTTTCCCTGAAAATGTTTCGCCTTGGCATTCTCTTTGAAAGCACTCCTCCACTTCAAAGTTTTCAAAATAGTTGCCCAAGGAAGTCAAAGACTCGAATCAGTCTACTTCATCTGCAACGCCCGCAAAGCATTGTATGGCCCAAAATAAATTCACGATACCGTGAAAAATAATTATCCGCACGATGAAAAAATAATTCTCAATACTTGTATTAAAAATAATTCGCAGTACCACTAAAAAAATAATTTGTGGTACGCATGAAAAATTTATTCATACAACAACGTAAAATACTAAACAGCCTTCATAAATAGTAATTCATGCAGCTAAAAGATATTAACAACACACTAAAAAAATCCTGTGTAGTGATGACAAAAATGCACAACGGGTCCATAATAAATGCTGCACTGGCCAAAAAAGTCACTTGCGATGCCATTTTATCATATTAATTTTGACCAGAACGGGCCTCCATATCATCTGGCATCTTGTTGCCTTCCATGTTCATGTAAACAATGGGAAAAGGTTACCCTTCACATTTTAAAAACAGGTTGCTATAGTCCTGTATATGACAAAACCGCCTCCCTGAGTAAAACATTGTACTTGTTGAGGGAAATAGAGGAAACAGGGAACGCTGTTTTAAATCTGAGACAAGACGCTGTGCACTGGGAGCGTTTATTTGGGCGTCGATCTAATCGGTGTGGTGAAATTTTTTGTATTAAGGATGTGTGAGTAGTGCAGTAGCATTTTATATTTTAGGGGTTGGTTGAGATGTGTGAAGTGGAAGGCGTGGAGTTATATTGGACGTGGATTAGTAAAAAGATAATGGTTGTAGTTGTTTATCCATGGTTGTAGTTTATCCATGAAACTGGTTTCTCGTAGAATTTATTTTGGAGTAGCAAAAAATATTTTTTTCGAAGGAAAAAGTGATTATAGGTGTTGCAGTGAGGTAGTTGTGGGAGTGCTAATTTAGTTTTGAAGGGGTAGTGAAGTTAAAAGTCTGACGAAATGTAGTGGTGGTAGTGAAAGTTCTTATCAATAGTTAAAAAAAACTTGAACTTATTTTTAAACGTTGTTAGGCTTTCCGTTTAAGATTGTTTTCGGTTTTTTTTATAACATTAGAGTGGAGAGAACGTGGATAAAGGAGATTTTATTTAATATAGAGAAGAGGGTATGAAGATGTTGAGGGGGCGGGGGCTGAAATTGTGTCTGACATGTTCGGGGGGCTTTGAAAAATCGGCGAGGTCAAGTGAGAGGGCGTAAAATCTGGCTATAGAACTAGTGGCCTGATTACATTAGCCTGGCTTGCTCACTTTGCAGAGATCTTGGTACCTTAGTTAAACGCAACAAAAATCAACTTTTGCAATTATTTGACAATCAAGCCAACCCGGCTAGTTGGGATCCCAGTATTGTGATGACAGGATCCCAGTCGGAAATTTTCCAAGTAATCCGGCTTGGAAAAGGGCAGCCCGGCGAATGAACCAAGCGAAAAACAGGACGGCAGGTAACACTGTCTCATGCACATTGCTTCCAATGTCTATATAAAAATGGCGACTACGGCTGGCCCTTGTCATGAAATACCAGGATAACAGTCACCTCAGCAGTGTTAGCCAGCCCGACAAACCGGGTCGGCCCGGCTCATGTGATTAGGACTTTACTGTATGTTGTATTGTCACGCAGTTTGCACGAGAAAGCTTTGCAATTTGCCGTTTTCGAGAGAGAATACGACTTAATCTGATTAACCCAAGGGTTTAAAAAATAACTGTCACGCACGCAGTTTGCACGTGAACATGTTGAACTTTGTCCCTTTTACGATTCGAAAGTGAAAGAATGCACAGGCTGGATGTAACTTGTTTACGAGATCACCCCCTTTCCGAAAATCTGCAATGAAATTATTCATCATTCAATGCTAAACTTGTTAATCTCATGCACGATCACGGAATATTGCATGACATCTTCTTAGGCACTAGACAACTTTAAGCCAAACCGTCAATTTCAAAAATTATCGACACATTTACCTTCAAATTTCTAAAAAAATACCGTAAGCTTATGAAAAAGTTACGTTATTTAATAGTTTGTTTCACTCAGTGTTACGTTTCTTGTTTTTTTTTTCGATACGTTCGGTTTTCTATTGCCGGCATTTTGATTGTCGTGCGTTATCTGTGGGGTGTATGTATGTGTCGTGACACATCGCGCAGCAGACTTTCGCATCGCTTGGCTTGTTTACGCTCGCACGTATTGCGTGCCTATTGCAACTTTGAATCAAAACAAGTGATCTCGATTTCTCTCGATTACTCTATTTGGGCGACGCCCAAATAAAAAGGTGGTATGAAAAAGGGCTTTAACCCTCCCACCCGCACCCCCATCTTTTCACGTTCCATAATGTAATGTTTGAAGCAATGGCAAATAAAAGTAGTAGGAAGAGGAGTGTTGGGAATACACGTTTGCCTTCCGGTCATGTAGTTGAGCACAATGACTGATTCACTGAATTCTGCATGCCCTTAAATCTGAAGTGAATAATGGTCTCGTGGGTATGGATCCTGTGATTCCCACTTTCACGTTTCCGGACGAATCCATTTTTCTAACTCCTGCACACATCTTTGTCCCATTTCTTGCAAACTGCGCCGAACAGCATTCTGTAAAATACCCTCCAGTCTTGGATCGTTGCTAAC